AATTACAGGTCATACTAGCATGAGGTCTGGTATAAGAAACCATGAATTTTGCGAGACCACTCTGCTGGAGGGGTCATGTGTAGAGGCTCAGGAGAAAGTGTCCACAGAGCCAGCCTTCTGGCCATGCCCACCAAATTAGATTGGCGCATGTGATGTACTACAGAGTGTCGAGATGGGCAGGTCCCTTAGGACTCTACAGAACCATAATGAGAGAGAAAGCGAGAGGTGGGAGGAGAGATCACGAAGTATACTGCTGTTGCTTCCATGTAAGTGGGAATAATTATGATCCATCCTCCTGTGTGTTTGGAATATATATATTTCCCAGCTCTTCTGTGCATAGCACATGTCTGAAGGTGAGTCATGTGCTGCTCTAGTGAAGGTAAACCATCCCTCACAGCAGCTACGGTGGGGCTACAGTCGAGAACATTTACAGTAGTCCCTTGTCACCTGCTAATGGCTGTGGGTTCTGTCCAGGATGAACTGGTGCATCACAATAGTGTACACTTGCCTTGGTTTTGAAGGAAACTCTGCCTTTTTATGAATCCAAAATTTCTGAATCTAAATCTGTCTCTGATCTTTACATAGTAATGATAATGATGTTATGTGGGGCAGCTGACATCAGCCTTTCGCTCTTGATTATGCCTATGGATTGCCCAGTAAGTGACACACACATTTGATGTCCGCCCTGGTTTTGACGGCATAGTGCTGGTTTCTGTCATTGCCAGACCCCATCATCCCACTGGCACTATCGAGCACAGCTCTGCAACAGTTTTCCTACATTCACATCTGATCTCAGAGAAATGACCGTGATTCAAATCTCAGTGACGCTGGCATCTCTTCACCAGTGCACTGCTAACTGGCCCTCCTGAGGACCCCAGGGGGCTCATGCATTGTGTATTTGTTTTCTTGTTTTTGACCTGGAGTCTCCTCTCAGGGACTCCCTTAACCCACATCTTAACCTTTTGATTGTTGATCCTACTGCTATACTGCAGTGCAATTCAGTTCTGGTACTAACCAGTCAGGGTCAGCCCAGAAGCCACCGGTCATGAGCAACCTCACATCAAATACCAGCCCAAATTTAGGGCTGTTCAACTTGTTACAGACTCAGGGGTTACTAAACATCTCAGGGTTGATATTCTGGTAGCATTTCTCCCTGAACTCAAGAAAGCCGTGTAACAACAGAGTTAATATAGCAAAAGGAGAACAGTGTGGGCCAGGGGAAGAGAGAGACACACATAGGGCCAGGCGAGAGATTGTCTGAAATGCGAAGCTTCATTGCCTGCTCAGGTTGGGGTGAGGGTGTGTTGAGGAAAGACAATTGAGGACTTAATGAGATGTGGCTGATAAGATTATTATTTTATCACCCAATATTGCTACATTAAAGACAGAAATGATTTCAGGAGTTTTGCAGGTCTTTGTCCTGAAGGAACATGTGAACTCATTTGTTTGCATATCAAAGGATGTGTTGCCTCGGGAGGGCTCAAAGCTCCAGTCAGATGCATTCCAAGATGGCTCCTGTTATCTCAAACCTGTGGCGCCCCATTCTTGAAAGACAAGGCAGCTATACATGGCACCACAGAATGGGAGCCAGAATAATGAGTGCCCAGCCCGAGAGAGGAGATGGACATTTATGGCTAAGAGCAATTAACAAACAGCCAAGTTCCTGCTTCCTTCTGATTCTCTGTCTCAATTCACAACAATTAGATAAAAGAAATATGGAGCCACGGTATCTCTGTGTTACCCCTCTGTTAAATGATAGCTGTCTCTTAGAACTTAGAAGTTAGTCCCTGAAAGATTTTGTAAATGTTTGTTCACATGGATAGAATAGATTAGGACATTTTAGAAGTCTCTTGAAAAGACTTTTTAAATCCAAACCGAAATACCTGATATTATGTAGATCTGTTACTCCTGGCAACCAATACCTGATATCTGTGATTATAAAACCTATGTGAAACTAACCTCATTGCCTCACTACCAATGGGTATGTAGTGGGGATCCCTGAGTACCCTTGCTTTATGCTAATTTCTTTATATAAATCTATGAAACTATACCTTCCTGTGCGTATTCTTTCATTTCCATTATTCTCTCTATTTCCTATTAATTTCTTATCCTCTGTCACGACTTTTACCTAAGGGACCCGATTTCTCACAGGGAGAAGTAGCTGATCTCCCTGCAGGGCGCACCCCTCTCCTCGGTCCTCTGATGTTTTCCTCCTTGGAGTCAAGTCTTGTGGCTGGTCCTCAAGTGTACCTGCTCTTAGGCTGCAGGAGGGGAGGATCACTTCCACCGCTGACACTGTACTTTAAACCACTGAGTGATGGGTCTGAGTCTGTCCTTTTTTCTCTCAGCACCTCAGTGCCACTTGTGAGCAGCCATCCCATCCCACACACCTGTTGTTACCATCTCCCCTGGAGTTATCAAACCCAGAGACAATGTACCAGCAGTGCATACCTTGTAGTTCATCCAAGATCCCCTGTAATGAAGTACCAGCGATCCCACAGGGGACACATGCCTTGGTGACTGTCCTCCCTCCACCTAGCAGCTGTCATGAGGTGCCTACTGGCTTTCCTGGGAAGTCATCCAACCCTCAACACTACTCTTATGGTTGGCTTCCTAGGAATACTGTTGGGTGTCTTTTTCTAGAAGCAGACTGTGAGATGTTGTTTTAAGGGATTTATTGAGGAAGTGCTCCAGGGAATCCAAGCAGACCCTGGTTCCATGGGAGACTTAAGCCTGATCCCAGGAGGCTGTGGTGCACACACTGCAGCACAGAGGTGACATCACTATGGAGACCCAGTGATGAGTGTGACAGTGAGACACTGGCTGCCAGCTGTTATCAGAAGGAAGGTGAATGGCAGTCACCCTTCCATGTGGCCTGCACGCAGCTGAGGGCAAGTCTCTGCAGATGTGGGCACCCCGGAGGTGGAAGGAGCAGCTTGGGGACGGGGATCTGGGCAGGCACCAACAGTGTGTAAATCCTTACGCCGCAGTGTGGAAACACTTCTGAAGGGAGACATGAGAATCTGTGGCACGCAGGACATCAGAGATGCAAAGTGAGTGGGGGTGGGGTGGGGTGGGGTGGGAAGTCGTGGGCAGAGGGGAGATGGGAGGTTGTAGGCTGCAAAGCACAGACAGCGTGAGAGGAGTTCATTAAGGCAAGGGAGAAGCCCCAGACCCACCTCAGAAGGAAGTGGGTTCAGGGAGGCCCCTGTGGGCAGACCCAGAGCCAGGAGTCAAAGGTGTGGGGTTAGTGCTATTGCAGGGTGACATGGAGTAGGGGCAGCCACTGGGCCACCTGCATGTGTGACAGTGTGTGTGTGTGTCTGTCTGGCTATTGAGTTAGACAGATACATGTCTAGACAGAAGGCTGTTGGGCCTCAGGACCTAAAGGGTTAGTGCAGTGGTCCCCGGAAAGGGGCCAACACGGGCCATGACACCGGGACAATGGAGAGCAAATGGGGAGAATCCCACTGAGGGAGGAAGTGACAAGTACAAGGACACAAAAGTGAGCTATAGGGTGGGGGAAAGTGGAGCTGAGGCTGCAAGTTTCTCATGAGAGGGAGGGGGTCTGAGCAGAGAAGGTGCCTGGCGCCCAGCCTCAGGGAAGAGTGGAGAATGAAGGGCCAGGTTGGGGTGAGGAATGGAGACAGGGGATCGAGGTTTCCAGACGTAGGGCCAATGTTTTCCAGTAACCTTCTCTGACCAGGGAGAGGTTTGGGCAGCATGATCTCACAGAGGGCTTAGGGTAATAGCTTTGCAAGTATGGGTGGGCACAGTGTGGAAAAGCACAATCTCCACCTCTGTCCTGTAGGGCACTCCAAGATGCATCAGGTAATGAAAATTAGACCCCAGAAGAGGCCTAATAGGAGTCTGGGCATGGGAGGAGGAGGAGCTCCAGGGCCCAGACAACCTTGGCAAGTGCACAGGCCGGAAGTGGGGACACAGCCAGCACGGGTGTGTGGGAACCCAGGCCCTGGGCTCCAGGGAGCGCATGGTCCCAGATGTGTGGAGACACGTGGATGTCCCTGGAGAGTCCAGAGCCCCAGATGTTGTCACGGAGAACAGGGCAGGGGGATGTAGGACTCACAAGATGGCTCAGAGTGTCCAGGAGTCCTTGAAGGTGGCTTCTACACTGCCAGGGATGTCTTGGTGGCTTCAGAGCCTCACTTTTCCTCTGTCACCAGCAATATTTGTCCCCTGAAAGCTTCTCACCCCCAAATAGACTGTTGGGGCCCTTTTTATTGTCACACCTGAGTCTTCATGAGGCCATTTCCACTCTGATCTTTATATGGTTCCTCCCCTCACTTAGGAGGAGCCCCCAGGGCACCAGGTCTGCCCTTGTTCCCCCCTGGAGCTTCCCTTTCTCAGCAGCAGGTTCTCAAACACCCACAGGACTCGACCATGGAATCTCACTCCTGAATCTTCCCCTTTCCCTACACCCAGCAGGCTCCCAGCCCTCAGCTCCCCAGACCCGTATTGATCTTCTCCCCCATCTCACGCCTGTCACCACATTCAGACAACCCCCTCCCCAAATACAGCCCAGAGACTCACCCCAGCATGAGCAGATGGTGGGCACAGAAACACGCATGAGACGTCAGTCCAGCTAAATCTAACTTTATTTTTTAGTGTCAAGATTCACGTTGGTGTGTGTGTGAATCCAGATCCTAGAGTTAGGGAGTGTTTGATCCCAGAATTACAGAGACGTCTGCACGTGTGGACGACATCGGAGGGTGCAGACCCTCAAGAATTTCTTCCCGAGAGGAGGACCTGTTGAAACAAAGCAAGTGTCCCGATTGAAATTTTCTGGGTATTGTTGGTGATATCCCAGGAACAAGGCCAGTTCCGGAAAGGAAACCGGAATCTCTTTTTCTCACACAGATGTTATCACAATTTGTAGGATTTATAATTAGCAATGCATCCACACTGCTGCTACAGATTTGCCAGGAAACATTACTTTTTCAAAAGTGATATGCCGGCCAGGCACTATGGCTCACGCCTGTAATCTTAGCACTCTGGGAGGCTGAAGCAGAAGGATTGCTCAAGGTTAGGAGTTTGAAAATGACCTGAGCAAGAGCGAGACCCTGTCTCTACTAAAATAGAAAGAAATTAATTGGCCAACTAAAAATATATAGATAAAATTAGCCAGGCATGGTGGCACATGCCTGTAGTCCCAGCTACTAGGGAGGCTGAGGCAGGAGGATCGCTTGAGCCCAGGAGTTTGAGGTTGCTGTGAGCTAGGCTGATGCCACGGCACTCACTCTAGCCTGGGCAACAAAATGAGACTCTGTCTTCAAAAAAAAAAAAAATAATAATAATAATATGCCATGTTACCTTCTTCTTGTTCTCCATGTTCCTTCTGAGACCATGCTAAATGGATAAGTAGATTGCACAATCAATTGTGCTGGGATTAGACGCTTCATCTTGTTGAAGAAATATGTGAGCTTGTTTCGGAAACCTTGCACAGCCAACTTATTGTATGGAACCAAAACTGTGGCCTTCAGTAGATACCTGAGCATTCGTTTGATCACTAATGATGCAACCCTCTTTAAGATGACGACTGCGTGTCCCATTGCAGGCACCGTTAATCGCTCATGTAGGAATTCCTCCATCTTCAACACGATATAGTCAGCCAGTATACACACGGCGAGGTTCATGACCTCGGTTGTTATAAAGGAAATAAGCGATTCCTTAGAAAACATGATGAGTGTCCTGTTGGTTTCAGTCCAAGGCTAGGACTCTATTCCTAGAGAGTCTTTCTGTTTCGCGAGGTCCCGGGCGAGAGTGACTCAAGTTAGTCCAAGAGGAAACGGTCATGTCCATGGAGGATGTGAGGTTCCTAGTGACGACCCCTATTCCTGGCCAATGAGCATGTGACACGGCAACCCCGGCCATTTTCAATGCACCGTCACCACCTTCCGACAGGGTGGGTGGCCCTGCCGGCTGATGGGGCAATTGTCAGAGGTGGTGAGGGACAGCGGGAGCCTCACAGGGGGCTGGAGGAGCACAAGGAGCTCTCATTAAAGGGACAAGACTTTACTGGGGTCAATTACACAGGCCTGAAAAGGAGAGTTTTGTCATTAACTTTTGTATGTGAAGATGGGACACACTGACATTTCTGTACCACTGTGGGTGTCAGAATAAGCCTCAGCGTCCAACATCAGGTAATACTCCCTGTGAACTGTGAAATTTCCTTTCTGTGGCAAAAAGGTTTTACTTTCTTTGGCAGTGATGTAGCTTGACGGGCTCATGAGCCCAGTGGCCCTGATCAGCAACCTTGTTCTAATGACACATAAGTAACGTGTTAAAGACCAGCGGTGTGGACGGGCGCCACCTAGTGGACTCTCAGATCTTGGCCGCTCTCAGCCCTGAATGGCCGCGCCAGGCACCTGACCCAGCAGCTAGCCTGGCTTCCTCCTCAAGGCAGACATCTGTGTCCTCACCTCCTTGCTTTTGATGTTTTCTTCCCAAAGTCAGCGCATGTTTCCTACAGAGAGTCCACACACACGATATGAGAATGGAGACACAGAATTTGGCATCTGAGTTGTGTTGCTTTTGTGGCTACTCACGTCGGGTCTGGCCTGGGTCCTCTCAAGACCTGCCCACGAGGTGGGGTGCTGACGCAGAGGTGGCCAGTGAGGTGTGGCCCGGGAGGATCGGACTGACTGGGGCGGAGGAATTTTAGAGCTTGAGTGGGAATTAGGGGTGTTACATGTGATTTGGTTTCTAGAGGATAGAGTGTCACCATGAAATAGGCTTTTTTTTTAAATTTCGGCATATTATGGGGGTACAGATTTTAAGGTTTCAATAAATGCCCATTTCCCCCCTCCCCCCACAAGTCTGAGTCTCCAGCATGACCATCCCCCAGATGGTGCACATCTCACTCATTATATATGTATATACCCACCCCCCTCCCCCCTGCCCAATACCCTATTACTGTAGTACCTATGTGACCACTTAGGTGCTGTTCAGTTAATACCAATTTGCTGGTGAGTATATGTGGTGCTTGTTTTTCCATTCTTGGGAAACTTCACTTAATAGTATGGATTCCAGCTCTAACCAGGAAAATATAAGATGTGCTATGTCACCATTGTTTCTTAGAGCTGAATAGTACTCCATGGCATACATATAGCACATTTTATTAATCCATTCTTGGATTGATGGGCACTTGGGCTGTTTCCACAGCCTTGCAATTATGAATTGTGCTGCTATAAACATTTGAGTGCAGGTGTCTTTTTTGTAGAGTGTCATTGGATCTTTTGGGTAGATGCCCAGCAAATGGAATAGGCTTTTATCGGGCAGTGGCTCTGGGGTGGGGCTGAGGACTCTGAGTGGGGCAGCCCCACCTGTTAAGGGAAGAGCAACTGAGCCGGTGCAGTGAAGCTGAGGGTGCCTTTTGTCCACGTTCAGTGGTGTGAAGGGTGAGATGGGGACGTGAGGGAAGGATAAGATTCTTAAAGACACAGATAATGTGGTGACATGGGTTCCAGAGGAAACACCGGATGTCCAGGCCCATATGGGCCATCGGGAGGATCATATGGGGACAGAGATCAGAGAATCTGTGAGGTCAGGAGGCTGGAGAGGCAGGAGGGATGGAGGATGGATAGGGAACCACAGATGCAGAGGCTTCAGCTGGGGGTACTTGGTGATCAAAGCAGGCTGGAAGTCTAAGATTATGAATGTCAAAGTGGAAATGTTTCTAGGACGGTGTCCTTGTGTCCATGCTCCAGCATGTGTCTGATGTTTCCAGCATCCCTTGGGAGCCCTACTGTAAAGCACAAACTCTTTTACCCCCAAACCTCTGCCAGGTGAGTGAACAAGTTAGCCAGGTCTTCAGGGGATTTGTCTGAAGGGACAGAGCTCATGACTCCAGGCTGAAGAATAGCCTCAGGGAAGATCGTGGGGGAGTCTAAGATGAGGCCGGGCATTGAGGGCTGTGCTGTATTTGCTGTTTGTCTAGCCTTCTCCTTCTTTGTTGGCTGGTCCTCCTCAAGGACCCCTCCCACAGGCTCTTTCTTGAGAGTCCCCACAGCAGTCTCCCCCTCTCTCTTCCACCCAGATTTCTAGAGCTGTGAGTTCCGTTACAGTAGCCATGCACCTATGTGGCCTTGGAGCATCTGCAGTGTGGCTGGTCTGAAATCAGAGGTGCTGCAGGTTTAAAATGCATACAAAATTTCAAAGGCCTAGTAATAAAATAAGAATGTAAGGTAACTGACATTTTCCTTGATAACATGATGAATTGGTAATGAATATACCGGTTCCATAAAATATATCATTGAAATGACTTCACTTTTCTCTTTTTACATTTTCAATATGGCTGTTAGAAACTTTAAAAGTTACAGATGCGTCACAGTTGTGCTTCCATTGGGTGTTCACTGGCTGTGATGGTGTGCTTCCACAAGGTGGCGCCAACACACACCTCTGGAGGCACACCAGGGAAGGAAGAGCCTGGGCGGAGGTGGGTGGGACCAGTGTGTGGGGCCCTTTGATGCAGGAGGAGCTTATAGAGGATGGTGCGACATGCCGTTCCCACACTGGGCCCACGTAAGAGGGGAGAAACTGCAAGTTCTGGTGAGCAGGAGAGAGGCAGTGTGGTGGGCTGAGTAGAGATTCCCAAATATGTCCATGCTGTACTTGTAATCCTGGGAACCTGTGAATGTTCCCTTTTATGATAAAAGAGACTTTACAGATGTGATGAAATTAAAGATCTTGAGATTGGGAGATTATCCTGGACTATCTGGGTGGGCCCTCTGGAATCCCAAGTGTGCCTAGAAGAGAGAGGCAAGGGAGAGAGGCCATGATGGTGGACCAGAGGCAGCTTCCACATGCCACTCAATCAGAGAGGGTCCAATGTTCATCTTAAGATGGCTCATCTAGAGAGCACTGGTAATCAACAGAGAAGCAATGAGAGGCACCGAAAGTGAAGGAGAGGGAAGTAGTGTGAACTGCCTGGTAGGATTGGAATTACCCTGGACAGGTGCCCACATGTGGGAAGAGGCAGGCAAGGGAACCCTGGGGCTGCCCCCATGGCCATAATCTGAGCTACAAGAGGGCCCATCCACTTCCACAGGTCTGGACTGATACAAGGAGGTGCAATGACATTGCTTCATAGAGAAGGCACAGTAGGACCCTGCTGCCTTCTGAACCCTGGGTTCTATAGCCAGCACCATTCTGAGTGCCTAGCCCTAGAGAAGTGCATCGTCCTGGGGTACAGCCCCATTGTTGCCCCATCCTCATCACTGTTGGCAGTCTAGGGAGGGAGCTGGGGGGCTGGGCACTCTCACCGCCTTGAGGACAGAGTGCTACATGTCAGTGCTGCTACCAGGGATATGTTGGAGAAAATGTAGCAAACATTTGTTTTTAAAACGCCTCTTGAGTAGTACCTATTGTGTTTGTACACTGGTTTTGTTGAAGAAGGAGGTAAAGGAATCCCAAAGTGAGAAGGAGTAGCTGTTCCTATATCAGAAAAAATAGACTTTAAATAGTCTATTTTTTAAATAGTCTAGTCAGGACTATTAACAAAGACAAAATTGGTCATTATATAATGATAAAGGGATTGATTCGACAGGAAGATATAACAATGCTAAATATATATGCACCAAACACAAGACCTCCTTCTTTATAAGACTAATAATATTAGATTTAAGGAAAGAAATAAACAGTAATATGAATAGGCAGAGACTTCAACATTCCACTGATAAAACTAGACTTATCACTGTGGTAGACTTTCAACAGAGAAAAAATGGATTTAAATGGGACTCTAGAATAAATGAGCCTAACAAGACATTTACAGAACATTCTTCCCCAATACTGCAAAATATACCCAGCAGTGTAAATTCAGCTACAGAACTCACAATTCTTATAAAACAATAAAACAGGAGGTAAAACAAAGCAATAAGGGACCACCCAGCAGGATGACTAGGCCAAAATCCTACATATCAATGCTATCAATTAACATTAACATTATCAATGCTAACATTAATGGACTGAATGCTTATCTCAAAAGACGCAGGCTGGCTGAATGGAAGAGAAAACACAACCCAAAAATCTGCTGTCTCCAAGAAACACATCCAAACCACAAGGATACACAGACTCATCATGAAAGGATAAAAAAAAATATTCCATGCAAATGGAAATCAAAAGAGAGCAGGTGTAGCCATTCTCATATCAGATAAAATTGAAGTTCAGCCAACAAGGGTACAGAAAGACAAAGATGGCCATTACATAGTGGTACAGGCAGCAATTCAACAAGAAGACATAATCCTAAATATATATGCACATAACACAGAAGCTCCCAGATACATCAAACAAATTTTACTTGAGCTAAGCAAAGAAGTTAATATCACCATCATAATTGGTGAGGACCTCAAGACCCCACTGTCAGAGCTCCACAAATCATCAAAGCAGAAAATAAATAATCAATTGTCTTAAACCAAAATCTAGATCAAATAGACTTAATAGACATTTACAGAACATCTTCTACCACAAAATTACAGAATACATATTCTTTTCAGTAGCACATGGTGTATTCTCCTGGATTAATCATATCTTAGGCCCCAAAACAGGTCTCAAAAAATTCCAATCAGGGCTGGGCGTGGTGGCTCATGCCTGTAATCCTAGCACTCTGGTAGGCCTAGGCGGGCAGATCGCTCAAGGTCAGGAGTTCGAAACCAGCCTGAGTAAGAGCGAGACCCCATCTCTACTAAAAATAGAGAGAAATTAATTGACCAACTAAAAATATGTAGAAAAAATTAGCCAGCCATGGTGGCACATGCCTGTAGCCCCAGCTACTTGGGAGGCTGAGGCTGGAGGATCACTTGAGCCTAGGAGTTTGAGGTTGCTGTGAGCTGATACCACGGCACTTTAGCCAGGGCAACAGAGTATGACTCTGTCTCAAAATAAATAAATAAATAAAAATAAAAACAAATTCAAAACAATTGAAATCATACCATGTACCTTGTCATACCACAACAGAATAAAACCAGAAACACCCCAAAAGACACTGTCAAAACTACGCAAATACTTGTAAAATAAGCAGCCTGCTGCTGAATGATCCTTGGATCAATGATAAAATCAAGATGAAATTTCAAGATTTTTTTGTATTGAATGACAAAAATGACATAAATTATCAAACTCTGGGATGCAGAAAAAAGCAGAACTAAGAGAGAATCTCATAGCTCCCAATGCCTACATAAAAAATACAGAAAGACCACAAATTACCAACTTCATATTATGCCTCAAGGACATAGAAAAATAAGAACAAACCAGACCCAAATCTAGCAGAAGAATAGAAATGGCAAATATCAGGCCAGAAATAAATGAAATGGAAACAAACAAAAAATGCCCACAGTACAGAGAATCAATGAAGCAAAAGTCAGTTGACTGCTTGCTAGATTAACCAGGAATAGAAAAGCAAGAATTCACTGGGAGGCTGAGAGGGGAGGATTGCTTGAGGTCAGGAGTTCGAGACCAGCCTGAGCAAGAGCGAGACCCCATCTCTACTGAAAAATAGAAAGAAATTACCCAGACAACTAAAAAATATATATATAGAAAAAAAATTAGCCAGGCATGGTGACACATGCCTATAGTCCCAGCTACTTGGGAGGCTGAGGCAGAAAGATTGCTTGAGCCCAGGAGTTTGAGGTTGCTGTGAGCAAGGCTGATGCCACAGCACTCTAGCCTGGGCAACAGAGCCAGACTCTGTCTAAAAAAAAAAAAAAAAAAGAATTCAAATAAGCTCAATCACAAATGAAAAAGGAGACATCAGAACCATTGCTGCAGAAGTATAAAACATCATCTGAGGCTACTATGAAAACTTCTGTGCACACAAACTAGAACATCTAGAGGAAATGGAGAACTTTTGGAAACACGCACTTCCCAAGCTTGAATTACAAAGAAATGAAAATCCATAGCAGAGCAGTAATGAGGAGCCAGATTGAAACAGTAATAAAACATCCTCCAACAAGAATGACAACAAGGAATCCCAGGACCAGATGGGTTCACAGCTGAATTCTACCAGACCTACAAAGGAGAATTGGTACCTATTCTACTGAAACTGTTCCATAATATTGAGAAGGAGAAAATCCTCTTTAACTCATACTTCAAAGTCAGTATTACTCCATTATGAAACCCAGGAAAAGACACACACACACACACACACACACACAAAACTACATGCCGATGTCCCTAACAAACATGGATATAAAAACCCTCAAGAAAATACTAGCAAGCTAAATTCAACAGCACATCAGAAAAATAATCCACTAAAATGAAGTGGGTTTCATCCCCGGAATGCAAGGATGGTTACCATACACAAATGAATAAATGTGATTCAGCTCATAAACAGAATTAAAAACAAAAATTATATGATTATTTTGCTAGATGCAGAAAAAGCATTGAATAACATCCAGCACATCTTCATGATGAAAACCCTGAACAAGCATAGAGGGAACATACTTCAAAATAATTAAAGCCATTTATAGCCCTAAATCAAGCTGGGTATCCAAAACATCTGTACTTCCTCAACATTTTGAAATAAAAAAGGTAAAGTAGTTGTAAAATACCATATCCGGGAAAAAATTAATCCAGAAGCAATTAAATGATCAAAGAGTTTGAATTAGAAGGATAAAAATTTCAAAATATTATAATTCAGTGATTTCTAAGAGTTCAAATAACATCATGTTTCAAAATCTATTAATTTTTTTTTTGAGACACAGTCTCACTCTGCTGCCCAGGCTAGAGTACCATGGCGTCAGCCTAGCTCACAGCAACCTCAAACTCCTGGGCTCAAGCGATCTTTCTGCCTCAGCCTCCCGAGTAGCTGGGACTACAGGCATTCGCCACCATGCCCAGCTAATGTTTTCTATATATTTTTAGTTGGCCAATTAATTCTTTTCTATTTTTAGTAGAGACGGGGTCTCGCTCTTGCTCAGGCTGGTTTCGAACTCCTGACCTTGAGCGATCCACCCATCTGGGCCTCCCAGTGTGCTAGGATTACAGGCATGAACCACCTCACCCAGCCTGGGAATATTCTTAATCAAAGAGATGAAACATCTCTACAGGGAGAAATATAAAACGCTGATGAAAGAAATTATAGATGACACAACAAATGAAAAAAAAATCCCATGCTCATATAGTCAGAAGAATCAATATTGTTAAGATGTCCATTTTGCCCAACATGATTTACAGATTCAATGCAATTCCCAGCAAAATACCAACATCATTTCCCTCACAATTAGTAACAACCATCCTATATTTCACATGAAATCGAAAAGGAGCCTGAACAAGAAAACATTCTAAGTCAAAAATACAAATCTCCAGAGGCATCACATGATACCTTAAACTGTTGAGAGATTAATATGAGTCTGTCATTATTTCTTTTCAATGCATCAATGCCCCATGTTAGCAGCCATCCAATTTTTCACATCTGTTTTTGTCATTTCCCCTAGAATTATCAAACCCAGAGATGACGTAGCGGCAGTGCATCCCCTGTAGTTCATTCAAGATCAACCAAAGTGACATATCAGTGATCCCACAGTGACTCACGACCTGGGCAATGTCAGCCCCCCACCTACCAGCTGCGATGAGCTACTCACTGGCTTCCTTGGGGAGTATCCAATTCCCAAAATTATCATTAGAATTAGCATTGCCAGTACCAACTGTTGCGTCTCTTTTTGTAGAAGCAAACCATGAGATGGTGTTTAAAGAGAATCACAGAGGAGCGGTCCAGGGAATCCAAGCAGAGCAGGGCGAGGAACCTGGCAATGATCGGGTTCAATGGGAGCATTAAGCCTGATCCCAGGGAGGCGTGGGAGTACACACTGCAGCACAGAGGTGACCTCGGTTTGGGGGCCCTGCGATCTATGTGCCAGTGAGACACTGATGCAGGACATCAGAGGTGGACAGTGAGGACAGGGAGAATGGCGTCCTGGGCAGAGGGGAGATGAGAGGTCGGAAGGCTCCAAAGCGTAGTCAGTGCGAAAGGAGTTCATTAAGGCAAGAGAGAAATCCCAGGGCCACCTCAGAAGGAAGTGGCTTCAGGGAGCCCCCTTGTGGACACACTCCAGCACCAGCAGCCAAAGGCAGTGGGCTTTGTCCAATGCCAGTGTGATTTGCGGTAGAGGCAGCCATTGGGCCACCTGTGTGTGTGAGTGTGAGTGTGTGTGTGTGTCTGTCCAGGGAGTTAGAATGATGTATATCTAGACAAAAATCTGCTCAGCCTCAGGACCTAGAAGGTTAGTGCAGGGGCTTCCAGTAAATGGGCCAATAGTGTCCTTGGCACAAAGGATAAAAATGAGAGACAAGTGAGAATCCCAGTGAGGAAAGAATTCACAAGTTGGAGGAGGGAGATGTCAGCAATACAGTGGAGGCATTTGAAGCTGGGGCAGCAAGTCTTTCAGGACAGGGTGGTGGGGTGAGCAGCCGGCTGTCTGAGCAGAGGAGGGGCCTGGCCACCACCCTGGGGAAGGGTGGGGAATAAACCCTTGCCTCGTATGAGTAATAGAGAAAAGCGATAGAGATTTTCAGAGGGAGGGCCAGTGTTTCCCAGTGTCCAGCTCTGACCAGGGAGAGATTTGGGCAGCTTGATCTCAAGGAGGGCTTGGGGAGGGGTAGTTATAGCATCACAATTATGGGCATGAGCACAGTGGAAAAGCACAGCCTCCACCTTCTTCACGTAGGAGCACAGCAAGAAGATTTGTTAGTTAATAAAAATTAGTTAGGCCAGGCGCGGTGGGTCACGCCTGTAATCCTAGCTCTCTGGGAGGCTGAGGAGGGCAGATTGCTCAAGGTCAGGAGTTTGAAACCGGCCTGAGCAAGGGCGAGACCCCTGTCTCTACTATAAATAGAAAGGAATTAATAGGCCAACTAATATGTATATATATATATATATATATATATATATATATATATATATATATATATATATATAAATTAGCCTGGCATGGTGGCACGTGCCTGTAGTCCCAGCTACTCGGGAGGCTGAGGCAGAAGGATTGCTTGAGCCCAGGAGTTTGAGGTTGCTGTGAGTTAGGCTGACGCCACGGCACTCATTCTAGCCTGGGCAACAAAGTGAGACTCAGTCTCCAAAAAAAAAATAAAATAAAAAGTTAGACCCCAGCAGAGGCCAAATAGGAGCCTGGGCAGGGGAGGAGGCCCAGAGCCCAGAAGACCTCAGAAAGTGCACAGACCGGAATCGTGCAAACAGTGAGGATGTGCAGGAGTCCAGACCCTGGAGTCCAGGGAGTGCCTGAGCCTAGAAGTGTACACATGTGTGGACAGCACTGGCGAGTGACAAGCCCCAAGAGTACAGAGAGAGAGGAGCGACAGGGAAGTCTAGGACTCAGAATATGTCACAGTGTGCAGTGTCTTTCCAGGGTTGCTTTTTTATCTTTGAGACAGAGTCTCACTCTGGTGCCCAGGCTAGAGTGAGTGCCGCGGCGTCAGCCTAGCTCACAGCAACCTCAAACTCCTGGGCTCAAGCGATCCTCCTGCCTCAGCCTCCCGAGTAGCTGGGACTACAGGCATGCGCCACCATACCCGGCTAATTTTTTCTATATATTTTTAGTTGGCCAATTAATTTCTTTCTATTTTTTGTAGACACAGGATCTCGCTCTTGCTCAGGCTGATTTCGAACTCCTGACCTTGAGCGGTCCTTCCACCTTGACTCCTAGCCCAACAGGCTCCTAGCCCTCATCACTCCACATACCATGCAGATCTCTTACCCATCTCATGGTTCTCTCCACATTGAGACCCCCGCCCTCCTCAAGTACAGCCCAGAGACTCACCCCAGCAGGATCAGGCAGGCAGCAGAGAGACAGTCATGAGACCTCAGTCCAGCTAAGCGACACGTTATTTCCTCAGTTTCAGGATGTGTGTACTTGTGGAGAAGGTGGGGCTGCTGAAAAATGCAGGCTCCTGATTGAAATTTCCTTCCCGTTAGCTGGTAACATGGGAAATGTGGCCAGTTCACAGACAAAAACAGAAATCTCTTTGTGTTCCCAAAGACATTACAATAACATGCAGCATAATTAGCAGTACCTCAACAATCATTGCTGTAAGTGTGCCAGGAGACATCGTATTTTAAAAAATGAGGCTGGGTGTGGTGATCCAGCAATCCAGGAGCCCAAGGCGGGCAGATGGTTTGAGCTCAGGAGTTCGAGACCAGCCTGAGCAAGAGTGAGACCCCGTCTCTACTAAAAAAATAAAAAGAAATTAGCTGGAAAAATAAAAAATATGTATTAAAAACATTAGATTTCAGTTTCTTGAGCAAAAAAAAAAAAAGAATGAAAGAAAAACATTAGCGGGGCATGGTGGTGCATGCCTGTAGTCCCAGCTACTCGGGAGGCTGAGGCAGGAGGATCGCTTGAGCCCATGAGTTTGAGGTTGCTGTGAGCTGGGCTGATGCCACGGCACTCTAGTCTGGCCAAGAGTGAGACTCTGTCTCAAAAAATAATAATAATAAAAAAATAATGATATGCAATGGTACCTTTTAGTTTTCTGGACGATCATGCAGAGACTGTGCTGGACATATCAGTAGAAATTACACCACAATCCTTTTTGCTGGTTTAATTTTTTTTTTTTTTTTGAGACAGAATTTCACTCTGTTTCCTAGGCTAGAGAGCCGTGGCATCAACCTAGCTCACAGCAACCTCAAACTCCTGGACTCAAGCAATCCTTCTGCCTCAGCCTCCCAAGTAGCTGGGACTACAGGTGTGCACCACCATGCCCAGCTAATTTTTTGTATATATATTTTGGTCGGCCAATTCATTTGTTTCCATTTCTAGTAGAGATGGGGTCTCGCTCTCGCTCAGGCTGGTTTAAGGTATGACAAAGGAGACAACACTTTACCAGGATAAAGTACACAGGCCTGAAAGGATAGTTTTGTCACAGCTTTTGTATGTGAACATGGGACACATTGCCATTTCTGTACCGGGTGGTTGACAGAATAAGCCCCACGGCCCAGTATCTCGGGAGTACTCCCTGTGAGCTGTGAAATTTCCTCTCTGTGGCACAATAGTTTTACTTTCTATGGCAGCAATGTAAGCTGAAGGGCTCCTGAGCCAGGTGGCCCTGATCACCCACCCTGTTCTAATTACACTTAGGTAAAATGTTAGAAGGCCTTAAAACAGCAGCGGTGTGGACGGGCGCCACCTAGTGGACACTCAGATCTTGACCACTCTCAGCCCTGAATGGCCGCGCCAGGCACCCGACCCAGCAGCTACCCTGGCTTCCTCCTCAAGGCAGACATTGGTGTCCTCATCTCCTTCCTTTCAATGTTTTCTTCCAAAGTCAGTGTGTGTTTCCTACAGAGAGTCCACACACACGACATGAGAACTGAGACATGGAATCTCCCATCTGAGTTGTCTTGCTTTTATGGCTACTCACGTTGGGTCTGGTCTGGGTCCTCTCAAGACCTGCCCATGAGGTGGGGTGTTGAACGCAGAGGTGGCCAGTGAGGTGTGGCCTGGCAGGATGGGGGTCACTGGGGATGAGGAATTTTAGGGCTTGAGTGGGGATTGGGGGTGTTCGATGTCATTTGATATTAAGAAGATGAAGTGGGACTGTGGAGCAGGGCTTTATAGTGGGAGTGGCTTTAGGGTTGTGGACTCTGAGTGGTGGACTTTGGTGGTGGCCCCACCTGTTACAGGAAGAGCAACTGAGCCGGTGCAGTGAAGCTGAGGGTGCCCTTTGTCCACGTTAACTGGTGTGAAGGGTGAGATGGGGACACGAGGGAAGGATAAGATTCTTAAAGGCACAGATAATGTGCTGGCATGGGTTCCAGAAGAAACACCAGATGTCCAGGCCCACACGGGCCATAGAAAGGATCACACAGGGACAGAGGTCAGAGAATCTGGTCAGGTCAGGGGGCTGGAGAGGCAGGAGAGATGGAGGATGGATAGTGTCGTGGCCCGATTACAGGACGGGGGGGGGGAGCGGGGAGCGGGGTCTGGAGCGGGGAGCGGGGGTCTGGAGCGGGGAGCGGGGTCTGGAGCGGGGAGCGGGGTCTGGAGCCCAGCCCGCCCTGCCGCCCGCAGACCGCCTGCGGAAGGAGGAGAAGAATCGCCAGGAGCTGGAGAAGCTGAAGCGGCGCCTGGACGGGGAGAGCTCGGAGCTGCAGGAGCAGATGGCGGAGCAGCAGCAGAGGGCGGAGGAGCTGCGGGGGCAGCTGGGCCGCAAGGAGGAGGAGCTGCAGGCGGCCCTGGCCAGGTGCGCGCGTGGGCCGGGGAGGGTGCGCAGCCTGGGGCGGGCCCTGCCCGAGTCACGCTCCCCCGATGGCCGCCACCTCCCGTCTGAGCCTCAGTGTCTCCTTCTGTCCTGCGGAGCTGGCAGGAGTCCCGGCCCGCCTGGTTCAGGGACAGCGAAGCAAGGCCCGGGTGTCCGGTGATGCGCGTGGTGACCCGTGCACCAGGGGAGCAGGAGAGCGCTAGTTCTCCTCCCCCTGCCCCGCCTCCCCACCCCGGACAGCCGGGCCAGCTGCGATTGGACAAGTGGCCTGGCTGTGTTAGGAGTCACAGTAATTACACCTTACGCTGTTTGCAATAATTAAGCCCTTGCTGCATGCCAGCTGTGGCGCTCAGGATTTCAAATGTCTTTTATGCACGTTGCTTCGCGCAGTCTGAGACGCCTTGATCATATACACGCAGCTCCAGTTCGGAGATGCTAAAAGGTGAAAAAGCATGCGTCTTAGAATCAGTGGTACGTGGTGGGTGTGGTTCACAACACACATCCCTGAGTCTCACTTCTGGGTTCGAATCCTGGCTCCTCCCCTTTCTGGCCATGTGACCTCACCCAAGTGACATCACCTCTCTAGCCTCAGTTTTCCTCATCTGTAAAATGGGCGTAATTATAGACGCTACTCCCAGGGTTGGGGCGGGGATAACCAGTGCTTGGTCACTCGAGTCATTGTCATGTCCATGTGTGTCTGTGTCGTTATTTTATGTTCTGTGTCCTCCCCCCCCCCGTCCTGTAATCGGGCCACGACACTATCCATCCTCCATCTCTCCTGCCTCCCAGCCCCTGACCTGACCAGATTCTCTGATCTCTGTCCCTGTGTGTATCCTTTCTATGGCCCGTGTGGGCCTGGACATCTGGTGTTTCTTCTGGAACCATGCCAGCACATTATCTGTGTCTTTAAGAATCTTATCCTTCCCTCGTGTCCCATCTCACCCTTCACACCGTTAACGTGGACAAGGCACCCTCAGCTTCACTGCACGCGGCTCAGTTGCTCTTCCTGTAACAGGTGGGGCCACCACCAAAGTCCACCACTCAGAGTCCACAACCCTAAAGCCACTCCCACTATAAAAGCCTTGCTCCACAGTCCCACTTCATCTTCTTAATATCAAATGACATCGACACACCCCAATCCCCACTCAAGCCCTAAAATTCCTCATCCCCAGT